TTCATATATGAATATATATGCATATTATTCTGTGAATATATATATGTATATTCTTATATGAATATATATACATATATATATCTATATGTATGTATATTTACATGCAAATGCACACATATATGTATAAATATATATATACATATATGTATATATATATATGCATACATATATATTTACATATGCATACATATACATATAAATCTATTTACACATATATTCATATATATGTATAGATACATATATACATATAAATGTATATTATATGTATGTATGTGCGTGAATATATCATATGTCTATGTATATGTAATTATGTACACACACACACACACATATGTATATATATATATACATATACATTTATATGCATAAATGCATATGTACACACAGACACACACATATATATTATACACACAAATAAATACACACAAATACATCTATATATATGGACGTGTTTCTATGTATGTGCATACTTATGTGTATATATATAGTATGCATATTGTATATATATACTGTATATATATATATCAGTACATACATGTGCATATATATTGTGTGGGTGGACGTGTGTGGGTATCTGTGGTCGTCTGTATGTCTGTTTATGTATATGCATTATGCATTACAAATTTTGGCTGTATATTGAATTCCTAACTGGCTCAGATTCAGTCAAAATCCGAGGAGATACTGTAGTGAATGCAGCCTTAAGTAAGCGTCGAAGTGACCCTGAGGGAGTCAACTATCTATGCTTGTAATTAAAATTGGGGATTACCGGAGCGGGCCGAGCGGTAAAAACCCTCCGAAGGCACGGTGGGCCAGGGATAAATATGGTAAAATCAGAATCAAAGCTAAAGCTCAAAACAAAGTTAAGAGACATAAAGTAAAAACTGAACACTCAAAATAAATAAAAAAAAAAATCTACCTTTAACATTAAAACAAGAACGGGTTTTCAATCACTGGGCTTCCCCATTTTCTTTACCACAGCCCTCATTTTCTATGATGGGTATTAACTGTGTATTTGTGACACCTACGAACGTAAATATAAACACAAAAAACAAGGAGCCCTGGGCACAACTCCTTAAGAAGAAAAAAAAGGTATCATAAAGAACTAAAACATATTAAAACATTTACTTAATAGATCGGCTTATATATAATATATAACAGTTTGTACATATGTGATAATAATATTTCGAAAAACAAAACACAAGACTTATCTGTACAGTTTACACTGGTGTTCCACAGCGAGCCGAATAAATATTTGTCACCAAAAATAATAAAAAAGGGGGTACCTTCGTCTCCCTGGTTAATATGTCAGGTCAATGCTCCGTTGCAGTCTTCTGTCCTCGGATCTCTGGCTTAGAGGAGCATTGCCTGCGCATATTAACAGTCTCGAGAGCTAGGGAGATCACCGGCTACTATTCTTAGATTTCTCTGTGACTCCTGCGGAGGTTGACAGAAAAAAGAGAAAATAAACTAAGCTTGGTCTGACAGGCCCTTAACAAGGTAGTTTGGGGGTTCATCTCGATTGCATACGAATAAACATTAAAATATATATACTTAATATAAAAAGGGCTGAACATAAAATACACAGATAAAATTATTTCACAGTGAAAGTTGAGCAGGTAAAATGAAATTAGCTAAAAGAGTTAAAATAAAGGGTTTTAGCTCGCCTTGTAGTGATGCCCTATGATGCGGGATGACGTCGCCGCCCCGGACGCGCTGAGGATGCCTTGTGATGCGGGATGACGTCGCCGCCCCGGACGCACTGAGGATGCGCTGTGGATGCCTTATGATGCGGGATGACGTCGCCGCCCCGGACGCGCTGAGGATGCCCCGAGGATGCCCTATGATGCGGGATGACGTCGCCGCCCCGAATGCCCTGAGGATGCCTTGTGATGCGGGATGACGTCGCCGCCCCGAATGCCCTGAGGATGCCTTGTGATGCGGGATGACGTCGCCGCCCCGGACGCGCTGAAGTGGTTTCGGGCATTTACGAATTTACGCTGGAACAATATTTTGACACCTAAACTCCTTTAGAACAGTCTCCCATACCTGTCGCTCTCTTGTACCTAACTGGCCAATCAGAATTGCTGGTAAAAAGGTCTAATGACAACTCAGGCCTAAAAGTCTATAAAAGGGGGGGCATATGACCTTTAACCCCTCTCTAACATTTCGCTTGCTTATTCATTTTCTACGCTGCCTGTGAGACGGAACTAGCTTGTCTGGTGCTGGAGGATGCGTCTCGTTTTTTATTCAGATAAGTACAGGCATAAAAGGGTAAATCACCGTGTAGGCATTACAACTTCTACATATTTAATGTGCCTTGTAAAAATATGTGTCTGTTATTAAAGGTTTTAATAAACTGAAATATGGAACTGCCTCTTAGAATGACCTCCTTCATCAACAACAAACTCTTAAGCTCCGGCTACGCTACCATTTGTAACTATATTTAAGGGAGTGCTGATTTTGTGGGGAAAAGCCCACTCTAATCTTATAGGGGGGAAATATAAATCTGCTTTAATATAAGGACATTCATGGGAGTAACACTACAGCCTTAATGAATCATACCTGGCGAGAAGAGTAAATCAAGGTCGTTTACCCAGAGGTGACCCGCAAACAGCTGGGGATGCTTTAAATGGTATATGGTAATTGTTATTTATTTGTACAATTAAAATCAAATAAGGTTCACTACAATATACCCTCGTCAATCACGCGCTCCTCCGCACCTTCTCTCTCCTGCCGCAGGATCCCAACAGACGTCATCATCTCCCTGCAAGGCTTCATCGTGTTCGTGATCTTCATAACGAATCGGAAGAAGCGCGAGATCGTGAGCCAGTCGTGGGAGGGCACCGTGTCCACCGTGTCCCGGGCAGCGAGGAAGCTCTCCCGCACGGATGAAAACTGAGGGCAAAACTGAGGTCTTAAGGAGTGTGGAGACCAGCCTCTAAATTGTTTATCCACAACAGACCTTAGACTCATCTTCAGAATGGGTGTCATTAAGTATCACTGAATGATATTCCTATATTACAGTGGTTCTGTAGTAATCTGAACATTTTAAGTGGGTTACCTCCTTTATTTTGTGGAGTGCCATCTCTTGGCCAAGCAAGTACGTTTTTAACAATTAATGTTTTATCTACTGTTTTACTGAGTTTAAGATGGATTAATCGAGTAGACCTGAGGGTTAACGCTGGGACTCTGAGTGGAGTGGAGTAGAGTGGATGTTTATGGCCACAGAAACCAAAGGCAATAATATATGAAGATGATAATGCAATGTTTATATGACCCTATGAACTTATTTTGCTGGACCGCCTTAGTTTTACTTTATTTTGTAATATTTTATGTTTCGTTTTCTAGCATCTTTTAATGTTATTATTTTATGTTATGTCTCTTTTTTATTGTATTTCTATTTTACATTTCGTTTTTTTTAGCTTTCATTTTAGTTTTGTTTTAATTCCCAGTTTTTCATATTTTTTATATTGTCCGTTCTTAGTGGTTTTGTTGTGTTTGTATTTTATGTTTCGGTTTGTTTGTTTTAAATAAATGTAGACTTTTACCTTCGTTTTTCGGTCTACCACAAACCAGCCATTTATTTATTTTCAATTATTTTTTTTAAGAATGAATCAGACTTTTGAAATTTCCAAAATCCCTACAGTTCTTGTCCGTTTTCGTTGCCCACATCCCTAGAGATCTTTTTACAGAAATATACTGTCAAAAATTGATCGGAATATGACACGGCCCTATAGATCATTGTATCAGTATTATCTATGGAATCCATGTTTTAGAGAAATTAATCCATATCTATATCAGTGCTACAGAAGTTTCTTCATAGGGAAACTATCCTTGGGAGGAGTGATTATGCCTTTTATTCGTCACCACAGCCGTGTGAGCTCGCAGTCGGGTCCGTAGGCTTTCAAGTATTTCAGTTTCCCTGTCAGAAAATAACTTATGTACAGTAAATCAGAGGTCATAATACATATACTAATGTATATGCATTTCTGTGTATATATGGATATGGATATATATATATGGGTGTGTGTATCTATTTAGCTGTCATGTATAAAATCCATACGTCTGGAACAGTGAAGACGCCGCATGCAAGATTCCTTAAGCAAAGTGTCGCCAGTCAGGTTTTGGAGCGCGACATGCCTCGACCGTGAGACTTTCCTCGACCATGACCTTTATAAGCACTTAGTAAGCATTCCTATTTGGTGAGAAAATGGACGTTAGATTATTCTTTGGGTCTGATCTAAACTTATGAACTTGTTCTTTTTTCCCCTAATTTTCCACATATAAATGCATCTATGCATCACTCTGTCTGTCTCTCTGTATATGTATATATGTACATATATATATATATATATATATATATATACATATATATATATATATATATATATATATATATGTATATATATATATATATATATATATATATATATATATATATATATATATATATATATATGTGTGTGTGTGTGTGTGTGTGTGTGTGTGTGTGTGATTATACTTATGATATACACACACTCACAAATATATATTGACTATATATTGACTTCTAAACAAACTTATTTTATGCAGGCGAAGTACAGAAATACCAGTTACCAAATAACCAATACTGAAAGGCATTAATCCGTTGGCATTAATAATCTGCAAGACTCTTTTTGTATTTCCCATGGTCAGGCAAAATATCTATGCTTGTATTCTGGTATAAATATATGGCCAATATCAGCCCTTGGTTCAAAGTTCACAACTTCGGATCCCGTGTACAGTACCTTTATTCACCGGTCGACTTTATATCGTCTAAATTTCTCTTGTCACGGCTGACCATTAGCTTACTTTTACTCCACAGTATTGTCTAATTCTTCCGTTGACTTATTCCTTGTCTTCAATATACCTACTGTATACCATTTTGATATGTCTTTGAGCTCATCCAAATCGTTTTTTAATGAACTATTATGAAATAAAAATATATGATTATATATAATTTAAGGAAACTAATAGTCAAATTCGAATGAGTCTGTATTTTAATGAATGAAATTCACTAATCACAGTATTAATAATTTCATGATAAAGCGATAATAATAGGAAGAGAAAAGACAATAATCTTAATAACCCTGATCAACATCATGAAAATTATGAGTGCTACTGATAACTCATTAACAAAAACCGTGATATTGATAACAATGCTATTGTAACAATGGGGCAAACGGTAGTAGCATTAGTAGTTACAAAGATGATGATGATTAGGACATCACTGATAATCTTAATAATAAGAGACTTTCCCAAAACGCGATGGAAAGACTTCCTTTCCCCAAAATAATGTTTCGGTGCCTCTAATGTAATTTTGGATTTATATTTGTTTCTGGGATTCACTCTTATGTGTACCTCTTGTTTCGATTTCCTCTAAATAGTAAAGGCAAATTTTACGTCCGGCTGAATGTTCAGTATAATTTCATAGGCACTGAAAGATTAATACATTTGCATGCACACCATGAAAACTCTTGCTTTTTCTTATCGCCGCAGCTCCGCAACTCCGTTTTCTTTGCCGGCGCCACCTCAACTCCGTTTTCTTTTTCGGCGCCACCGCAACTCCGTTTCTTTTCCGGCGCCACTTCAACTCCGTTTTCTTTTCCGCGCCACCGCAACTCCGTTTTCTTTTTCGGCGCCACCTCAACTCCGTTTTCTTTTCCGGCGCCACATCCACCAACCACACTGACGGAACCTTTCCTCCGGCGTATCTGTTATGCTTTCCTTTCCACTGGTTAATGCTTCCTATATTTTCTTTAATATGTCTACCATTCATTAATCCATCTGGTTCGTTCTTTTGTCTTTTCACTAACATACAAGAAGAATATCATGTCAATGGAAAAAAAAAATCCTTAGGTCATATATTTTCATGTAACAATAAGTGTGACCTTAGGATAATGTTCTCCCCAGTTTTGTACTTACAAATTCAGTAAATGAAATATATATAGATATATATAAACACATACATTTATATATATACACATGTATATATATTTATACATATATATATACCCGTATATGTATGTCTGCATATATGTGCATAAATACACATATGTGTATATATGTATATGAACATATATATATGTATGTATACGTATGTATATGTTTATGTACATACATATATATATGTACATTTAAAATTTGCTGATATCCACCAAACACGTATTGTAAGATATGTACCGTATTCTAAGTTAAATCCACTTGTAGCGAATGTGTATAAACATTACTAGACCTTATAATTTCAACTAAATGCACCTTTGCCGGGCAACCTTTCAGTTTCCAACCGCACAGTCATTCATATCAGAAGATGAATTCTGATAACATCCTCACATCCTCTTTAATCCGCTTTCTGGAAGCTTGGGTTAGTCTCCCCCGCCGCCGATGCCTCCCCCGCCTGTGAAGCCTCCCCATGACCGCTCCCTGGGTCCTTCCGTTCGCCCAAGTCGGGAGTCATTTCCTCGGTGAGGTTGCTGTTGTCCGAGGACGAGCCGCCGGGGTTTCTGGTGCACACCTGGCTGTTGCTCACGTGAAACTCGACGCTGGTTTCGTCCGTGCGAGAGATTTTCATCACTGCCTGGGACACGGTGGACACGGCGCCCTTCCACGACCGTTTCACGATCTCGCGCTTCTTCCGGCTCGTTACGAAGATCACGAACACGATGAAGCCTTGCAGGGAGTTGATGACATCTGTCGGGATCCTGCGGCAGGAGAGAGAAGGCGCGGAGGAGCGCGTGATTGACAAAGGTAATTCGCCTCGGATTTTGACTGAATCTGAGTCACTTAGGAATTCACTATGCGGCCAAAATGATTTGTCAAACATAATGCATATACATAAACATACAGACGACCATAGATACTCCTCCCAGTCGGCACACGCGCGCGCGCGCGCACAGAATATTATATACATACATATATATATTTGAGCGTGTGTTTGTGCATAATATATATATATATATATATATATATATATATATATATATATATATATATATATTTATTTATATACGTGTAAGTATGCACACACATACACACATATATATACACACACCCACATGTGTGTACACATATACATAGACATACAGTAAAACCTGAGAAAACCGGATCACTGTCCATTCCGGACGATATTCTCAGTCCCTTCCCATTACAATAGGCGGCCTGTGTTAAAAGCCCTCTACAGACCGGACACTGGCTACTATGGAAACCGGACGGCTTTTGGCGTGAAAACCGGACGGCCTATTGTTTTCAGGCCGGTATCTTTGCCGCGTGTTTGATTATTGTTACATTAAAAACAGCTGTTTTACCTGAAATCTGTGTTTTAGTGGTCTTTTGTCCTCTTTGTGTTTCGTTTTCACACTTTAACGTAACTAAGTGAAATACGTGTCAATCACGGGAGGTGAGAACGATCTGTTCACTCATTCATTGAAACATCAAAGTTTACGTAAACAAAGGACGTAACCCGTCAATCATCGTAGTTGTCGCTCTGTCGGAAGGTTGTTGAAAGATAGTCAATCAAAACAAACTGTCACTTTAAAATGTGAAAGACTTTCTTGTGAATGTTTCGGTCACATCATAAAATGATTCGGTACATCAAACATAAAATTCGGTCTTGGGGTGCAGTTTTTCGGCACATCAAACGCACCAAAAACTTTAACCCAATGGTTAAAAGACGTGAACTCTCTGATGCGAAGAAAGAAAAAGATCTTGCTTTTCTTAGACAATGCAATGTCTCACTCGCCTGACATCAGACTGTCCAACGTTACACTCAACTTTCTACCCGCCAACACCACCTCCCGTTTACAGCCTCTGGATCACGGGATCATCAGGGCGTTCAAGGCACGTTACCGAAAACACCTACTCCGATCAGTCATCGCCAAGATCGACGATACAACCGCTACTGCCAGTGAAGTCGCCAAGTCCGTCAACGTCCTAGATGCAGTCTACATGATAAGCCGGGCATAGAATGAAACCAGAGAGTCTACCATCACCAAGTGCTTCGCCAAAGCTGGTTTTCCGGTACCGATGACAGCTGATAACGAAGGCAGTGTATCCGAAGAAGATCAAGTTCAAGACGAGGTAGCCGATCTCATCAGACAAGGTAGCGACCGTCTTGGGTGTAGACAACATCGACCCTGATCTCTACATCGACTTTGACAACTCCATGCCGACTGAAGAGACATACAGTGGTGACTGGGAACGTCAACTTGTTGACAACTTTGTCGCTGATCGTGAGAATGTCAACCCAGCAGCAGTCGACGACGATGACGAAGTTGAACCAGAACCAGCCAAATATGCAAGTGTCCGTCCAAATCTCACGTTTCCAGAAGTCTTACAGATGCTGAATCAACTGCAGAACTTTGCCGCCGACAAAGACTGTCCTATTTTGAACCACATCCAAGATGCGAAGAGTGTTGTTGAAGCTGCCATCATCAAGCAACGAAGCACAGCCAGACAGTCAACAATCGATTCATTTTTCAAGAAGTAAGAACTTTGTAAGCAATATGCTGTTACGAACTCTGCTATAACAGTTTTTTTTTATTTCGATGTCAAGAAGTAGGAATTCTGAACTCTATTGCTACAGTTTTTTTCATTTTGTGGCAAAATATTTGTACATGTACAAAATTACGAAAGTTTTACTATTCCATTTTGTATGATTTCAATTACATTGTAAATATTAATGTGTGTGTAATAAAATAACGCTTGGTTTTAAAATGAATTTTATTAAACCGACTCAATAAATGTGGATTTTGACTTGTATATGTACGTGTAGTTGCGTGGTGTATGTGTATGCGAACTCAGAAACCCTAAAGTGTTCAGTTTGTAAACAAAAGAAATTGGCCCCGCCCACCCTCTCCAAACCGGATTACTGTCCAAACCGGCCATTTTTTACAGTCCCATGGTTGTTCGGTTTTCTCAGGTTTTACTGTATATTTATATACACACATGCACACACGTACGCATATACATACATACATATATGTGTGTGTATGTGTTCATGAGGGTGTGTCACGCAGGATTCTTTGGATTCATAACTAGTCGTTCATTGCCTGGAAGCGAAATGTTTACTTACCACATTTCCAGAGGATAAATTTTCCAGGAGAGAATTTCCGTGACCCAACAGAGCGCCATCAAACAGAAGAGGCTAAACCGCTGCCAGGAGCTGCCATAATATAACGTAATGTTAAAAAGTTGTAGTTGTTTATTACCGTAATGTCTGTGCCAGACAAACGTAACATTAACTTCTTTCCCTATTCATTATAAGAAATTTTAAAGGTTATTCGTCACTTGCTTGTTGGGTACACAAAGTTAAGGGAAAATTCGGTTTTAGTTACTTTCAGTGCCATACAGGCTTAAAAAACGATAACCATAAGCTTTCAAAAATCCCACTGGGACACCTATAATTTGTCACCTCGTAGGCGAGAGTAAATTTCGTGAATATACTGTGCATATATAACATTCAGTGCAATCATATTAGAAATTAATGACAACTCTATTGCAAGACTCACGCATCGATGTGATTCCGGTTGAAAGCTGTGAGTGAACTGGTGTTCCGAGAACAGCACTGGGTGAAGGCGACGCCAGCCTGGAACAGCATCGCGAGTGTGTGGCCGAGGAAAATCAGGTTCAGGAGAAACAGCAGACCGACCAGCCCGTAGAAGTAACTCAGAAGTTCAAAATCCCCTGTCGTAAGTGATTAACGAATGAATAGATCAACGTACTCGTGTATGCGTGCACAGACAGACATAGTTATATAAATGCACAGTATGTTTTATATGCACATATGGATAGATATAGATATATATAAATACCACTGAACCAGCAAGATTCCAGGCCAAAGCCCGGCCGAAGGACCGCGTCCGAAACCTTCTCGTCGGGCAGGAAATGCATCACGGTGGTCACCAGCGTCACGGCCAGAGGGACGCCCCAAGCATACGCGCAGTACAGCTTGAACTTCTTGGCGTCATTGGCTAAGATACCCCGCAGTGGCACCAGCTCCACGGTCGCTCTGTAATTGGAAACGGGAAGTAAGTATTTTTTAAAAAATCGATGATCAAAAAATAACATGGCACTTAAACACCGACATTCTATTATCCACATATACATACACGCGTAGACACATGATACACACACACACACACATTTATATATGTTATATGTATCTGTATGTATGTATATATGCATGTATGATATATACATACATATATATTATACATACATACGTTCATATGTGAATATAAATATATACAAATACCTATTCATACATAAATGTAAATATCTATGTGTGTATGCATATCCATATGCAAGTTTTTTATTTATGTATGTATTTATGCATGCATGTATGTATGATATATATACATATTTGCATATATATAAATGTATATATATATATATATATATATATATATATATATATATATATATATATATATATATATATATATATATCAGCATAAACACACATACATATAATACACAGAAGAATGAGTGTGTGTGAATGTATTTTTTTACTTACTTAATGACGCGCCATACATCAAAGCACATGACATTGAGCCAAAAGAACGTCGCGAGAAATGAATACTGTAGGAGAAAAGCTGGAAAAAATTATGAAAATGATAAAATCGGTTAAAATTATAAGGTGATAAAAAAGTAGTAGTGCGATGATGATGGTGACAACGATGATGGTGATGATTATGATCATAGTGACTGTAACATTCAGTACGGTAATTCATGAAAATGATATCAGTTAAAACTATAAGGTGATAAAAAGTAATGGTGGTGATGATAGTAGTGGTGACAACGATGATGATAATGATTATCATGTAAAAATAATGACAATAATCGTATATTATCGAAATTACATAGATTATAAATCAATCATTGTGACACTAATTGCCTAAATTTAGTAATAGCATCAGATATAATAATCACAATATTCAAGAAAGTTGATGATGATCATGGCTATGATAATTATTATTATGATTATCAATGACAACGTATCATTATAATCATCAATACCATTAATGTTACAAGAAAAACGATAATAACACTATTAGGAAGAACTAGAGGACAACTGGGCAAAAAAAACGAACACGTACGTTCCGCGCAGACACACACACGCGCGCGCGCGCATACACAAGTACACATATATCAGTATAAACTTCCTTACCCTGTGCAAAGAGGCAATGGCATTTATAGCATTATATAAGAAACATTTTTTTTTTTTTTGGTTATTTAAACAAGTCTCAAGGAAAGCTCTAGTAGGCAATTACACGAATAACACGGTTGATAAATGGACGCGTAACGGAAAATTAGCCACGGATATGCTCGTGGTAAAAAGTGCATTAGAATCAATAACACCAACTTGCCATCTCTATCTTTCGCTCTCTTGCTCTTTCTCTCAATCCCGCAAACAGATACACACAAACACCAACACACACACACATATATATTCATAAAGACACGCATATATGTGTGGGTGTGTATGTATATACACATATATGGATAAATATATATACATATACATATATATATATATATATATATATATATATATATATATATATATATATATATATATATATATATACTGATACCTAAAATATAAAGTCATTTCTACAAATGCATCATCCTACAAAATGTAGAAAATGCCACTCTCCCTGAAGCACCCTATAATCTACACTTCAATCATGTCATTCAGATATTCCTGCGCACTAGTAATTGCGTCTTCTGTCATCAACAGCCACGTTCTTTTCTTTTTTATGGGGCGGGGGTAAGTGCGTGTGTTCCAAATATCTTGTAAAAAATAAGAAAAAAAAATCCTGCCTTGAGATCATCTGTGTACCCTTCAACAAATCCCTCTTTAGTGAAAACCATTAATGTCGCCCACCATTAAAGACGCAGTGGGACTTGCTAATTATTTTGGAGAACTGAGACCCCGTGAAGAGGACAGCGTCAGCGATCAGCAGCGACACCATGTGGCACAGGAGGCAGAGGCCCTGGATGTCGCGCAGTTGTTTGATGGCGAGGTGGCACACGATGGTCACCGACAGGAACACACACGACACCACCAACCCGGCCGCCTGCAACTGGTTCTTGACTATTAAGGCCTTACTTAGAGGTTCCCGACATACGAAGGCGACGTCGGCTGACACTGGAGAGAGGAAGAGGGTTTGGAAGAGAGCCTTGACAAAATTACCAAAATGACTGATTAAGAGCAAATCTACATGTAACAAGTGTCTTCGTTAAATAATAATAAAATTGGAAATGGTGTGTGTCGGACAAAATGTTTTACTTACTTTCCACGAAGTATTCCAGACAGTATCTGCCCGGCATGAATTCTGCGCTCTTGTACGGTTCATACAAAGTCCCACTCTGGAGTAGGTAGAACTCCTGTTCTGGACCGGCGCGGGGGTTGAGGAGAACCAACAATTCGCAAACGGGTATCTTCTCGATCACCAAAATATTTGTGGGTCTTGGGATTGGACTTCCTTGGAGCGTACGGAATTCGGGAGAAAATCCGCCCACATGCCGTTTTATGCAGCTCTTCGATGCTAGCTCCACAGCCTCTCCGTCGCCACAGCACTTCTGGACACACGTTTCCGTCGTGCAGATCTGAGAACAGGTGGTTTTTGTTACATGTCTGTAGAGCTTACGCTGATACTCACTGACCAAGGAGAAGTGAACGACAGCCACTGCCGACCAGAGCGCCCAAACACGATGGTTTTCCACCGTCCCTTCAACATTAGACTGTAAAGCATTATTCAACATGGCCACTCACGTTGTGAAGGAATTCTTAACCATCTAGATATAATTCTGGGCGTTGTAATGAACTTTCCGGCATTTGCCAAATTTATTTTTATTTTAAATGCAAGAGCCAATTGTATATATACCATATGGTGGTGTTCTTATGTAAAAAAAAATCCTATGGGAAAGTATCATCTTTATCCTTATACCGTTGTACTGTGTACGGCAAAGCACCATGCCCGTGTGTGTGTCAAATAAAGAGAGGGAGAGAGAAACAGGGAGAGACTACTCTAGATTTACGTTGAACAGATTGTAAAAAAAACAAGCCACTGCGAGTCGGTGCCGGTCCAAGCCCAAGAAATGCAGAGGGTTGCGACAGCAGGCAAGCGGCGTAAAACTAACGAAATCAATGATGCACGACAACCAAAAAAATACCATACTGGGTCGGTCGGGGCCCAGGATAAAAACGGCCGCCACTGTTTCTGTTGGCCAGCAGGGTAGCAGTGGAAAATATGCAACTGTTGGTTAACCCAATGGTGCCGGGGAAAATGAACAAAAAATGGAGAAGATGCTGTGCCCACTTTCTATGTTTTTCGTGAAATGTCTGCCAATAGATGGCTCT